TTGAAACGCCCCTGTCTTCAGTTTCAACATTTTGCTCCCCCATGGGGAGAGAGGAGGAGTGGGGAGGGAGGTGTCATTTTTCTTTTATGAGCGGGAAAGAGGGAGGGGGTTTCCTGCAGTTTAATGAAGACAAATTCACACAAATATACAGGGCTTCCTAAAATTTGATGGTAAACATTGACGACTTTTCAAAATACACAGTGTTTCCCAAAATGCAAAACATTAACACTTTTTTTTTAATATTCAGTGATTCCCATAATAATAATAATAAGTGAAGACAACTTCTAATAAAGATACAGTGCTCCCCAAAATAAAACGGTAAATATTGATGAGTTTCCAAACCATATACAATGATTCCCTAAATAAAATAAAAATGAAAACAACTTTTATAAATTTACAGCGCTCCACAAAATAAAATAATTAACAAAGACAACTTCTCAAAAATATGCAATGTTTCCCAAAATTAAATGTTAAATGATGACGACTTTTCATTATACATTTACGGTGCTTCTCAGAAAAGCTGGTACGCTATGGAAAAGTTGTCTTCCCATTTTGTTATGGGGAGCACTTCATCTTTATAAAAAAGTTGCCAATGTTCAGTATTTAGTTTTGGGATGCACTAAATATTTAATATAAGTCGTCTTCATTTTCCACTTCATTTTGTGGAACACTGAATATTTCTGAAAAGTCATCTTAAACATACAGTGCTCCTTAAAACAAAAGGAATAAAGGGAATGTAAAGGAAAAAACCTAAGAATCTCAGGCGTTGAACGATACATGTAATACATCTTCCTGATGTTCCTGTTTCTAGAAATTGATATAAAACTGTGTCAAAATTATACCAAAACGTTTATATTTGTAAAATATTCGTCGTATTAAACAGACCATATTCACCAAATACGCAACCAATATGGTCTGTTTAATATGACGAATATTCATAGAAAGGATATTTTTAAACAAAACATTTGATAAACAAGGCATTTCATGGAAAGGATATTTCATAGACAGGACATTTCATTGACAGGATATTTCATAGAAACCATTCATAAGAAGTATTTCATAGACTGGATATTTCATAGGAAGGACATTTCATAGACACAACATTTCATACACAGGACATTTCACAAACAGTACATTTCCTCTATGGGACATTGCATGCCAGGACATTGCATAACAGACTTTATAAAAGACATTTCATAGACGGGAAATTTAATAGATAGTACAATTCATATAAGACATTACATAGACAGGATAATTTATAGACAGGCAGAATATTACATAGACAGGATATTTCACAGACAGGACATTTCATAAAAAAAAGGATATTTCAGAGACAAGATATTTTAAAGACAGATTACTTCATAAGCAGGACATTTCGAAGACAGTTTATTTTATAGACAGGACATTCATAAAAGACGGGATATTTCATAGACAGAATACTTCACAGACAGGACATTTCATAGAAAAGAAAAGAAATTTAATAGAAAGGATATTTCAGAGACAATACATTTCACAAACAGTACATTTCCTCTATGGGACATTGCATGCCAGGACATTGCATAACAGACTTTATAAAAGACATTTAATAGACGGGAAATTTTTGACAGGATATTTCATAGAAACCATTCATAAGAAGTATTTCATAGACTGGATATTTCATAGGAAGGACATTTCATAGACACAACATTTCATACACCGGACATTTCACAAACAGTACATTTCCTCTATGGGACATTGCATGCCAGGACATTGCATAACAGACTTTATAAAAGACATTTAATAGATGGGAAATTTAATAGATAGTACAATTCATATAAGACATTTCAGAGACAGGATAATTTATAGACAGGCAGAATATTACATAGACAGGATATTTCACAGACAGGACATTTCATAAAAAAAGAATATTTCAGAGACAAGATATTTTAAAGACAGATTACTTCATAAGCAGGACATTTCGAAGACAGTTTATTTCATAGACAGGACATTTCATAGAAAAAAAGAATATCTCAGAGACAAGATATTTTATAGACAGATTACTTCATAAGCAGGACATTTCGAAGACAGTTTATTTCATAGACAGGACATTGCATGAACAGGATATTTCATACACAAAAAATTTCATAGACAAGACATTGCATTGAAAGAAAATTTCATAGAAAGGATATTTCATAAACAGGACATTTCATAGAAGCTATTTCATCAAAAAGTAAATTTCATAGGAAGGACATCTCATAGAAAGGACATTTCATAGACACAACATTTCATACACAGGACATTTCACAAACAGTACATTTCCTCTATGGGACATTGCATGCCAGGACATTGCATAACAGACTTTATAAAAGACATTTAATAGACGGGAAATTTAATAGATAGTACATTTCATATACAAGAAATTTCAGAAACAGGAAATTTTATAGACAGACAGAATATTACATAGACAGGATATTTCACAGACAGGACATTTCATATACAGAAAATTTCAAAGACAAGACATTGCATTGAAAGTAAATTTCATAGAAAGGATATTTCATAGACAGAACATTTTATAAACAGGACATTTAATAGAAAGGAAATTTCAAAGAAAGGATATTTCATAGACAGAACATTTTGTAGACAGGACATTTCATAGAAGCCAATTCATCAAAAAATAAATTTCATTATAGAAAAGACATTGCATGGAAAGGATATTTCATAGATAAAAAATTTCATAGAAAGGAAATTTCATAGAATGGATATTTCATAGACAGAAAATTTCATAGACAATGCATTTCATGGAGAGGAAATTTCATAGAAAGGATATTTCATAAACAGGACATTTCATAGAAGCTATTTCATCAAAAAGTAAATTTCATAGGAAGGACATCTCATAGAAAGGATATCTCATTAAAGCCATTTCATCAGACAATATATTTAATAAATTTGATAGAAAGGATATTTCATAAACAGAACATTTCATAGAAAGGATATATTAAAGCCATTTCATCAAACAATATATTTCCTCAAAATGATATTTCATAGACAGAAAATTTTTATAGACAAGAAATTAAATGGAAGGAAATTTCATATAAAGGATATTTCATTAAAGCCAATTTCATCAAAAAATATATTTCATAAAAAGGACATTGCATAGACAGGACATTTTTATTGTGTCAGTAATGTATGAGAGTATGTAGTTTTTCGTTTAAAGATATGAAAATCGGATAAATCAATTTTATCAAACTTTAAAGTATCAAAGGTGTTCACTACACACTAACTTTTAACATCGGATTGACTTTTAAGTTTATTAGATTTTCAGGTAATTTTGGGTGGGTGAGATTATAGATCTCAAGGAATAGATACATTGCAATACAGGGTTAAGAGAGGGGGGAAGGCCAACCACAACAATTTCTCGTCCGAGCCACATTCTCCTAATTTTCTCGTCTGAGCCACCTCGAAATCCTCGTCCTTTCAATATTATTTTTTTTGGTGTCCAATCCTTCTAGATAAAACTGTTTTTTAGAATCAAGTCACGTTAGGGCATAAATGAAATATCAAATTTTTGTAAATTGAAAAAAAAGTTTCAATTGAATTAAATATTTCAAGTTTAATGTCTCTAGAAATGTTCATCTTTTTTACGAGCATTTTCAGATATTCCTGATGTAGAATGCCGCAAATAATTCTAAGTTTATAGAACTTCAATCTTTTTTGTTAACTTTAATGAAAACCAAAGAATTTTCCGGGTGGTTCCATGGGGAAAATTATAGGCAGATGAATGCTGAATATTTTGCTTTTTTATTTTATATCACAAAGGTTATCCATTACGGAGGCAGAAGATATTTAAGTTTTACATAAATAAAGTTTGACATCATTCTCATGGGTTTGAAGGTTCCAACATGATATAATCATTGCAATACTTTAGTCCATCCATATTTTATGCCCTAACGTGGCCAGAATTGGAAACTTTTTAACGCAAAATAATCGAAGGACGAGGATTCCGAGGTGGCTTGGACAAGAAAATGAGGAGAATGTGGCTCAGACGAGAAATTGTTGTGGCTGGCCTTCCTCCCCTCATTAAGAGGATGGTGGATATTTTTTAATTCCTATATCTTTGCAACCCAATGTTGTATAACTTTCAAAAGATGAAATCTGTTAGATCAAATAATCTAGGCTTGAAACACTAAAGGTTCCAAACATAAAGGGATTAGAAATGCACAAAGACTCAATCTTTTTCTTTGGAAAAAAATCTTATTTTAGACTTAAACCCGATATTTTTAGTGTGAGTCGATTTTTTCAAAAATAAAATTAGCTTGTTCTAGAAATGCTTTTTTCCATAGAATCTACAGGGTGAGTCCAAAAAAAGTGTGATTTGCGGCGCCTAGTGCAAAATTGTACCATTTTATGTGCAACTCTCCTGTATGGAAGTTTTGCAATATTTTTTGAAAATTTGTAATTTTTTTTGGTACTTCAATGGCCCAAAAGAAACTCCGCGAACCTTATTTTTCTCTCTCTAAGTTCAGAAAAGCAAAAGTGTGTATATAAATTATTTCTATCGAAATCTAAAATTTTAAAAAGATTGAATCACAGAATCACAGAAAAATTTGCATTCTGAGATTCTGTGATTCAATATTTTTAAAATTTTAGATTTCAATAGAAACAATATATTCGCACATTGTTGTTTTTATGAACTTTTGATTTTGAGAGAAAAAAAGTACGTGGATTTTTTTTGGGCCCCCCCAGTTTGGAGAACCCAGACCGCCATCGGGT